AGTTTCTTTAGAAACTTAATTTGAGTATTAACCACTGATACATGAAACCTCCTCTGACACACATCCTTAGTGCTTTTATGTTACCGGAGACAATGTGCAAAAATTTTTTACAACCTGAGCCTTATCCATATTGCTCACACACCCAAAACTCTTCTTGATATCACTTGGAATTTGGGGTATTCATGGAACGCAGGGTCAGACCCCAAGTGTAGGAGAGAAAGCCTGGCACCTGGTCTGCAGCGCTGTTGCTCAATCTATTGCTTCTGCTTAACATTTCCGAGTTCGCTAGTGGGCTTTGGCATGTCACCCCTACTTCATTCTTATTTTTATGCACTTTAGTTATGTGTCTCCTCAACTGTGAAAACTCTCCCTACCCACTTAGCCTGTGATGAAATAAGAGATTAAAACAAGAATCATTGGTTCCTTTCACATCACATCCATGCAAAAGTGTAAAGAGTGGTGAGTGTCTGATTCCCACTTACATGCTTTCACGGATTACCAGCTGCCTTGTGCTGTCAGTCCCAGAGCAGGGAGCAGTTCAGCTTCCAGAGCAGAGATCTCTAGCTTCCAGACCCCCAACATTGCCCCAATCAAGTCAATACAAGCACTCCCAGTAAGAAGAATTGCATGGACATGAAAAACCATAGTAATTACTGCAGTGTCTATGTGTTGATCTGACAGAGGAGGACTTAATTTTGTAGTCTAGACAAAAGCTTGGGTTTGGACACATCTGGAAGAGGGTAAATTGAGGTGCCATGCCTGATATTCATCTGCTCAGGGCATGGGGTAAGGATGGGGAATGGAGGGAGCCAGGGCTCAGACCCAGTACACCAGCCGGAAGAGCTGAGCTGACACAGGAATTTTAGAGAGACTTACAGCTTCATACACCACCATTCCTTTCCTGAGATGTTGATGGGAAAATACAGCAACATACCCCTCACCCTACCCTTTACCACAGACTCTGTCCCAGGGAATGTTTACATAGCAGCTGTGAATTGGAATTCTCACTTTGGGTATAAATAAAAGTGCTAGCCCTGCTTGAGCTAGGACATGAAAAATAACACTGTGACTACAGCAGCAGGAGCAGCCAGCCGCTCATGCTAGTCACCTTCCCATACAAAGGCCCTACATACATATTCAGGCAGCTAGCCTGTCCCATGCCCTCTGCTGCTACAGCCACGTGGCTATTTTAAGCATGCTAACTCATGCAGAGCTAGCATACGAATAGTTATCCACACTAGCCATTATACCTGTCAGTAACTGTGGAAAAATACCTCTAGAAACAACATTAAAGACTATGGTTATTTTAGCCACCCCGTCACTCCTGCAAGATGTGCAGATCATATCTGCCCTTTATTTAGGTCTGAAAGCCAGACTACTCTCTATCCCCTCTGTGATAGTTCCTTCTAAGTAGTCCATACTTTAGTAGATTGTTTCACCTCCTGATTTTTGCCAGGTTTCAGTTACCACCACAGTGTGAAATTCCCCTCTGTGCATGTGATTCCAGTTCCTTTATTTTGTTTGTTGTGATCATAGGCACCTTGGAAGTGTGCCCCCAAATGAATTGTGTTATTTGCTGGGATTTTATGTCTGTTTCCCAAAGGGGTTTTCCCTAGGTAATATTCTCCACCTCTTGGTTCTAGATCACCATGTAAGTTTCACTATCCCCCCCCCTTGCTGCTTCTTCCCCTTCTGCCTCCTTGCAGTCAGATTGCTTTCCCCTCCTCAGCATCCAGTAGTTTAAGACACTCTCTCCTACAGCTCTGACTCTACTCAGCTCATACATTCAAAGAAATGATTTAGTGAAAGCTATTTGTCCTTCATCAGCCCACAGGCACCCACAGATAAGCATATTTAGTATCAGTAAATATCAGTGTTGCTGCTGGAATTCTCCTGTCACACACAATGAAACCACCACACTTGGGGCTCATGCACATGTCTGAGATGGGGGCTGTTTCTTACTTGGCTAAGCAGGGCAGCCAGCAGCAGTTGTCTGGGCTGGATTCAGACCTTAATTCCCTCCTCCCCCCCTTTCATTAGTTAGTCAGACTTCACACAGCAGGTGTTCTCAATGTTTTGGCCTTTTTCAGGACCCTAGTTTATCAACACAGAATTCAAAACAGACAGATCTTCCACCCAGTTTTCCTAGCTAGTTCACCACTGTTGGTACAGAGTTCTCAGCCCTCTGACCACTTTGCATACCCCCTAGTAGACTCAATCTCCTTTCAGCCTTCCTTACTGGTTCCTGCTTCCTAGCCAAAAGCCACAGCACTTGCACTGCACAGAACAGCTTACATAACCCTCCTAACCCTTTAAATAGCTCCCTGAGCTCAGGCTGTCCTTTGCATCTCCCAGCAGACCTGGTTCAGGGTCACATGATCCAATCATGTGGCCCAGGTGGACTCATTTCCTTCACCTGGAGAACATGGCTACACCTCATCCCAGGCCCTGGAGGCCTATCTACACTGCAAGCAGGAGTGAGCCTCCCAGCCCAGGTACGCTAATTTGTGGTAGCAGGGCTAAGGCTAGCACACTAAAAATAGCAGTGTGAACACTGCCATTCAGGCTGGATCTTGGGTTCTCAAGCCCACCTTATTCCACGTCTTCAGAGCCTGAACTCCAGCTTGAATTGTAACAGCTTCACTGCTGTTTTTTAGCTCAAGCTTGAGCTGGCTGGGAGGTTCACTTCTAAAAGAGTTTAGATATATCCTTACAGCGCCAACTCCCCTTGTGATACTGAGTAATAGTCAGACAACAAACTGCCTTCACAGATAGTTTCAGATGGATAAAAGAAAAGGCAATCCCTAAGCAGAGAACTAAAATCCAAACTCAAAATATCTGTGCACAGCAACCCAAAGTAACCGTCAGTCAATATTTTAACCTTGATCATACTCCCCTTGATTAAAGCTCCCAGTAACATCAGTAAGATGAAGAGTAGACCCTATTTTTCTCTTGGATCTTTATGCTCTTGGGTGATATGAGTAAATAGTGGCAAGTCTTCTCAGAATACATGGTAGCTATCAGGGCCACTTTTTAAAAAGAAAAATCCTGAAATCAGTTCTCCAAATTATTCAAAGAACATTGTAGCTAGTAAGAACTCATACATTAATAATAAAAAGTAAAATGGGTAACAACATTACTCTGAGGCTCTTGGAGGAGAAGAATTATTGCTTAGTGTTAATAGTGAAATTAGTTTGAGTTTGCTAAATTATGAATATCAAGATCTAACACTATCACCTCCATTTTCTCAGTGATCTAGCTAAAATGCAACTGTCATCTCAATTTGTCTTGTGCAATAACATGACTCCTTTGCCTTGTATCTATCTAGCCCGACGTTGACACTTCTTACCTCAAAACCGAATACGCATACACTTTTTTGTGCAGCATTTTGCACACCTGAATGCAAAGGAAGCTGTGCTACAATGTGGTATCCCAGAGTTGACGCTGCTTTTCTAGCTGGAGCAATGTCATCACAAACAATCCTGCCTCCTCCCACTCATTCTAGGGTGTTTAATTTTGATGTGAAGAAAAACGAGAGAATTCTCTTTTACCTTTTGCTTGAGACACAGGTCAACAAAATAACAGACCTTAGAAGCAGTATATTGTGTTATGTGTCCGCCGTACATTACAGACAGTTGGAGGCAAAGTTTCAAAGGGTTGCCAATTATGAGTCTCATGATACGTGGTGGTTTTCTTTAAACCCCAGCTCCTTAAGTCAGTCTCAGCTCTCAGTCAAAATATGTAAATTTCTAGCCCTGGTGGTTGCAGAGAAAAGCTGGAAAGCATGAAATCTCATGAATTTTTGAAGTGATTCATGAGTTTTTAACATTT